CATTTTTCAGCCCGATCCGCGACGTACATGTGTCGCCCACGTGTGCGCGCGTCAAATAGAATGGCTACGCAATCGTGTCGTGATATATATATTATACAACAAGATATATAATACAATAATATAATAATAAAATAGAATATATATAACAAGAGTCGCGCAATAACGTCCGCGATTCCGATTGGTGCTTCCACGTTTAAGCCCAAGTAATATATATATTACTTGCACAGCACCAATCGGAATCGCGGACGTTATTGCGCGACTCTTGTTAGAGGATCACACCTCGTCGCTACTGCCATCTAGAGAACTCCTCGGCACCTTGGCTCTACCAGGTGTCCCAAAAATGTCTCGCAATATGGAACGGGAGGTGCCTGAGATCATTTCAAGCAACTTTTTCCTTTGCGAAAATGCAATCCGCGGCTTCGTTTGCGAGTTATTAGCGAAAAACAGCGACCAATAAGACGCGAGCTCGGCCGGCGCGCGGCGGCCCAGCCAACTGGCGCACGAAGCTCAATTCCGCTGATTGGCCCGCTGTTTCCAGGATGCGAGACATTTTTGGACATAATTACGAACGTCCCAGTTTAACCTTTTAGGCATGACGTGCCACTATAGTGGCTTACTCTAGTAGCTCGCTCTTCACATCGACTTACAATATACAGACTTATCTTAACAATATAACTGTATCTTAACAATATACAGACAGAATATACAGACACTCTGTACAGTACATATCGGACTCTGCCGTCCAGAGAAATAGCTACGCGCAGAATTCAGCCGTACCTAAACGGTTAACAACGAAATTAGTGAAACTAAACAGTTTGCTGATCGCCTGTAGCTCTGAACGGACCGTTTTCTTTTGCAGCCGTTAAATTCGGACGCATGTCGAAGAAGCAGAGGGAGAAGGTCGAGGACGAAGTTAGATTCCACAGGGCACAAATGAGAGCGGCCTCGGAGACGGCGCCCGATAGCAGCGTGTTCGAACACCAGACGCCGAGCAGCTCGGACCAGCACCATCCCTACAACGGAGGGTAAGTGGGGCCCGTTACCTTATCGAGTATCGCGGCGAGAATAATATCTACCTCCTATAGTATTAACGCTCGATAAAGGCTCGCTGCTCGGGTCCGACGACGACCCCATAGCGCGAGATGGTTACGGTCCTCCGTCGTCCTCCGAACGATGACCCGAAACGACGTGCCCGTAACACGACAAATAATATCGTTCCTTTTAAAGTGAATGGTTAAATCGAGAGGATTCCGCGGGAATGTTCCTCGATCTCTAACGCCGCCGCGTTTCGTTTCTCGAGCAGGTACACGTACGGCGGCAGCGAATACGCATCGCCCGGCCCCGGAACAGGTGGTTCGGGCTACTACAATCATCAGGCGATGACGAACTACGAGCTTAGCGCGGATTACGTTGACAGCACGACGACCTACGACCCGCGACCCACGCAGACGCAGGTCGGGGACACCGTCGCCCCTGATACACCCTCCGCTGTCACCGCGACTGGGGTTCTTCCCAGCGTGGTTACCACCGGTGAGTATCACCTGCGACTATTCTCTAGTACCTGTGCTTTCGAGGATACGGTGTACCGCCGCAACTCGTTTCACCCTTTCTCTGTCACCTGTCCGGGAAAGCCTCTGCTACGGTCTGTGCTAGGGCGGTGGACTATGGGACGGACCAGATTCACGCGAATCGCGTTCGTTAACCACGGTTTTAGGGGAATATTTCGGGAAGAACTGTTGCTGTAAGATTAAACATTATCGTCACTTTTTTACACGTTTGTTGGGTGCGAGACGTTTGGTGCTTGAACTTCTTACGCCAAGTTATTAATATCGTTCCTGTACGCACGCTCCCTGCTTTATTTCAGTGGTCGGTAGGATCCTTCGCGACATTTTAGGGACAGGATTGTGGAGGGTGATTATCGCAGGGTGACCGATTTTTTAATGCGACTTTGGTTATAATTAAGTTTATAGTTATCGAGTAAGACGGATTGAATGGTTTTTATTCGGAAATATACGAAATGGAAGAACAATCAAAATTTAGTAGACGCATTGAATTTTGTTTCGTTTAATAATCGACGTGTCTTTTAAATTTAATATGTCTATTGAATTTTTCTATTCGAAAGTGAACAAAATAAATGAGTGAGAGACTTTAATACGTCTTGTTCTATAAATACAAAGTTAATTATGCTAAAGCAATTGGACACCTTGCGGTAACCAGCTCCGTTACCCTACAGCTAAATAATATTCCTCTCCTCGTTAATCGTTGCTTCGATTTCATTAACCCTTTGCACTCGAGTGGCGACTCTAAGGCGACATTAAAAATTGTTGCTTCTCGTTTGAAAATAATGTCAACATTATCAAATCTGTTTATATTGAAAAATACTGTGCAAAGCGTAATCAGAAAATTCAATTTCAAACGTATAAAATACACTAGGTTATACAGGGTGTCCCAGGTTTTAATGTTCAAACTTTGTCAGTATATTCTATGGCACAAAGTATGAAAAAAATGTTATGTAAACATAGGTCATATAGAGCTTTATTAAGAAGTTATAAGAAAAATTCAGAATAGGAATAGTAATCAACTAAAAAAAAAATAAAAAATAAAAAAAAATCTTCGATCGATGTCAATCATGTATTGTCAACAACGGTTATTAATACGTTTCGAAATGTATTAATAAACACAGTTTACATAAACACACGGCATGTGCTGATCTATTCAAGCCAATATTCGCAGTTAGAGCAAGTTGATTACTATCCCTATTCTGAATTTTTGTTATAACTTCTTAATAAAGCTCTGTATGACCTATGTTCACATAACATTTTTTCTTACTTTGTGTCATAGAAAGTTTGAACATTAAAACCTGGGACACCCTGTATAAAATGGAAATACTATATGTCGGAAAAACTATTTTCGATTTCGAGTTAAAACGGCGTCGAGCACGAAGGGTTAAATAGAATGATATACATGGCACGCTCCTGGCAGAATGTACTCGATTGAACAAGTGAAACGTCCATCATCGTAAGAATTCCATTTACTTAACGTGGAAAAGTAATTTGATTAGCTGCAAGAGCAACTGCAATAATAAGATTCATCGTTGATAAAGAAAACATATGAAAATAAATAGATGCATCTTCTGTTTCCATTATGTATTGAACGACGACATTATTTTATATTAATGTGAGAATAAATTTAATCTTGTACAAGCATCGTAGAATATTATTTGCCTTTCTCTAACGTCGCTCTTCACGATAAGTTCATTAAAAAACTATCTGAACTCTTCGCCATGCGGCTGAAACTTGTTATAATGTTCGCACAAAGACGACTAAAGCATTGTCTCGTATCTATTAAAAAGGACAAGAGCATTCGTTACCTCACGCGCATCTTATGTTATTCCATGAAGTATCGTTATTAACTCTTCCGTAACGTATGCGCGATATACAGGGTGTTTAAAAAATGTCTCGCAATGCGAAAGTGGCGGGTTCCTCAGGTCATTGGAAGCAACTTTTTCCTTTACAAAAATATTCTCCGAGGCACCGTTAACGAGTTATTAACGAAAAACAGTGACCAATGAGAGGCGAGCTCAGCTGGCGCGAGGCGACCGAGCCAATCAGCGGAACTGGGATTCGACCGCTCGACTGCTGGCGCCGTTGGCTCGGCCGCCTCGCGCCAGCTGAGCTGGGATTCGACCGCTCGACCGCTGGCGCCGTTGTCTCGGCCGCCTCGCGCCAGCTGAGCGATTGGTCACTGTTTTTCGTTAATAACTCGTTAACGGTGCCTCGGAGAAAATTTTTGTAAAGGAAGAAGTTGCTTCAAATGATCCGAGGAACCCGCCATTTCCAGATTGCGAGACATTTTTGGGACACCCTGTAAATACAATATTATGCACGGTAATGTCTCTCCAATTGACGCTCAGATTGTCCACGAAAATGGACAATTTTGGAACAGGAGATACGACTGTTCGAGCCTTGTGACTCGGTTTTTACGGTAATCGATTGTCAACAACTATAAAAACGAGTCGCAAGGCTCGAACAATCGTATCTCTGCTTCCCAAATCTTCCATTTCTGTGCACAATCCGAGCGTCAGTAAGGGAGACATTATTGTACAGTAATGTTTCCCTAACTGACGCTTAGATTGTGCAGAAAAATGGACAGAAAATGTGGGAACAGGAGATACGATTATTCCGGCTTTGCATCATGTTTTTGTAATCGTTGACAATTCGTGACTATAAAAACGAGTCGCAAGGCTCGAACAATCGTATCTCTGCTTCCCAAATCTTCCATTTCTGTGCACAATCCGAGCGTCAGTTAGGGAGACATTACAGTATCGTGTTTACCGTGCGTCAACATAAAATTCTTTCGAGATCCGCGATCGCGATTTCAGTCGAATATCCTTTTGCCAGGGGTAGCATTCACCGCGGAACGAAACGATAAAGTTGCCGCGCGATGGAAGACCACGCTCCGACCGTGGAAACCGTGCTGATCGTATCAATTTTCGGAGCTGCTACGTTTGTTTCCGATTTCCGCGTAATGCATCGTTCCCCCGCGCGTCTCCACGTACATTTTCAATTTTGATCGGACGGAATATGAAGTTACGGCGGCTGCCAGGCGAAACTGAAGTCGTGCCAAGTCGAGAGTTTATAGTTCCATTAAAGTTTATTGTTAGCGAAGGAGCGGTAACAAGATGTCAATCGATGAACAACCAGCGCCAAGTAGTACTGGTCCCTTTCAGCGCCACGCGGCTGATACAATTATTGTGTTTATCACTGCCAGTTGACTGCACGGTGCATTCGGTGAATGATATTGATACTGTTGCTTGAAGTAACATTAACAGTCATAAAGATACGATTGAATTGCCGCTTCAGGAGCAGGCTGCCGCCGTGACAGACGGTGGTGGTGCTTCGTGCGAACAATGCCGATTCGCTGACGGAAAAATAGTCCGAGCATCGTTTTCGCGAACGAACGAATCGTTCGCCGCCGTCGGGTCGATCGATCGAAAACATCGTCGCGTTGTTCGAAAACGTATCGAGAATTTCATCGAGGTGTTGTTCGCGCCTTCTGTGTATACGTATGTTTCAATATACGTATTGGTAGTTCGGAAGACTCGATTCGCCAAGTATGCGATAATCGAATGCACCGATAAATCTCGCGTTCAGTATTTATGAACGTTGCAAAATGTTCGATCGGAGGAAAAATGATGCAGCAACGGAACTTTCGATGTTGAAAGAATTCGCGTAAACGCCGAGTGCCAGGAATTTCATAAGACAGACGATGTTAGCGGAATGTTACGTTTCCGACTGAAATTGACCGAAACGTTGCACGACGGGTAAAACGACGTAGTTACCATAACACTTACCTAACGATAATAGCCGAAACTTTTGGGCAGTAGTGTGTTTCTAAAGATAGCTCTAGCAGGCACCATAACCCCAACCCATCGTTACAGCCGTTCAAATGGTTTACAACTTACACGGACTAAAATTATCGCTTCATCAACCAGCTTGCTGCGCTGCCAAACAGTCTCGTCTCGTGCAGAGTCTAATCCACGTTCCGATCGCAGCTAATTGGTCCTACCAGAACCACCTTACGGGGATAATCTCCTCTGGAGGTATCGCTTCAAGGTGGTGCTAACTGTAGATCGAGCAACATAGAACGTGATCGGCGATTTTTCACGAACAGAAAACAATCGGACGTTGTACGTTTTGGGATGGCGCATCGGAAACGTGGATTTTCTTGCTCCTCCAATGTGGGACACTCTCTTGATACTTTATTTATCGGAATTTCTGTTAGATAATACAGTAATTTCTCCCTAATTCGCGGTCAGATCCAAAATTCGACAATTTAGGAAGCGGAGATACGATGTTTATTCGTGCTTTGCGTCTCGTTTTTATAGTTGTTGACAATTGGAGAGACAATCTGAGCGTCAATTGGAGAGACATTACTGACACTCGTATTGTCCATAAAAATCGACAATTTGGGAAGAGGAGCCTTGCGAATTCGAGCCTTGCAACTGGTTTTTATAGTTATCGATTTTCAATAGTTAAAAAAACGAGCTGCAAGGCTCGAACAATCGTATCTTCTCTTCTCAAATTATCCATTTTCGTGGACAATATGAGCGTCAATTGGAGAGACATTACTGACAATCAGATTGTCCATATAAATCGACAATTTGGGAAGAGGAGCCTTGCGAATTCGAGCCTTGCAACTCGTTTTTATAGTTACCGATTTTCAACAGTTATAAAAACAAGCTGCAAGGCTCGAACAATCGTATCTTCTCTTCCCAAATTGTCCATTTTTTACGATTGTTGCTGTAAAATCGTATTTTCTCGGCCCAGATTGTACAATAGTAATCAATCGTTAACAATTATAAAAACGAGACGCAAACCTCGAATAATCATCGTATCTTCTCTTCCCAAATTGCCCGTTTCTGTGCGCGATCCGAGCGCGAATTAGGGAGAAATTACTGTAACGCCAAAAGAATTTGTTATTGTACATGACAGGAATGAAAATAATTGTTTAAAATCCACTTTAGTGTCGATCTTCGATTTTGAAAACAGTTAGAGAACTGCTGATAGATAAAGTGTTAATTCGATGCTGTCGCAACTCGGAAATCTTTCTTGGAAACTTGGGGGAAAGTTGCCAAATTGTAGTTCATAGTCGCGTGTTCGAATATTAGAATAACACGGTGATCTACATAATTTAAAAAGGAATAATTCGGTGACCTAAATTGAAGCTCACATCGAAGATCCAAAATCGCCTAACGCTAACTCTACCAACTCCCAAAATCGACTGCACATCGGAATCAAAAAATTCTAACCCTTGAAAAACACTTTGGCCGTCACGTCACTCATACGTGGTGTTATTTGCTCAGATTTTTTTTTCCTAATTTCATCAGAATCCTTCAACCCTCCGCTGTCACACTTGCTATATTCGCACGTGTGTCGTGCAATTTAAAAAGGAATAATTCGGTGACCTAAATTGAAGCTTACATCGAAGATCCAAAATCGCCTAACGCTAACTTTACCAACCCCTAAAATCGACCGATACTCGGCACGTCGGAATCATAAAATCCATACCCTCGAAAAACACTTTGGCCGTCACGTCACTCATACGTGGTGTTATTTGCTCAGATTTTTTTTTCCTAATTTCATCAGAATCCTTCAACCCTCCGCTGTCACACTTGCTATATTCGCACGTGCGTCGTACAATTTTTAAACGGCTGTCGCTCAAAAATCGAGCTTCGCCATCGAGCCCCAAAAATTATCTGAATATTCTAGAACCCCGTTTCCTTCATCAGACCGCGGTATCTCGCTTCCAAGTATATCGGATCAATCGTTAATTTCACTTTTCCGAACGAAAAATGTGGGTCATCTTGACTCGGCGCGGAGGCTTGAACGAGAAACTGTTAAAAATGCAATCGATGTAATTCGAGTTAACGTGCTTTATTCGATCGAGATAAAACCGAGAAGCGAACTAAAAGTAAGTCGAAACTCAAATTCGAGTAACTCGAAAGTTATTTGAAATTTTCCGAGCTTTCGGCGTGGCGGTCGAAGCGCGAACGAAAAAATCCGGAAATTTCACGCTGCGAGCATTTTCGTCGTTTCAACGATTCCCGAAGCAGGAGATCTGATCGGTATACCTAGTGCAAACGGCACGATATTGGCGACTCTCCCCTAGACAATAGGTCGAGCGAATACCAGAGAAAGACAGACGATTGTTAACGACTGAAAGAACGAAAAAAAGAAAGAAACAAAAGAAAAAAAAAGAAAAAGAAAGAAAGAAAGAGCTCGGACCCAGTGAACTTTGACTTTTCGCGTACCAGGAAAGTCGCTGTCTGCCTCGACGACCGGAAGCAGCACGGGGGGTAGTGGTGGAGGTAGTAGCGGAGGCGGTGGTAACGGTGGTGGATCCGGTGGTGGTGGCTCGGGAGGTGGAGGGAGCGGTTCTGGCACCGGCGGCGGTGCGGCCGCTGGCGGCGGCGGTGGTGCCGGTTCCCTAAGCGGGGGTGGAATCGTTGCTGTGAAGCAAGAGACCACCGTCGAACTCGCCAACCTGGGCCACGGCTCGTACACGATGGTCGACTCGACGACCTTTCTGAGCGGTCAGCAACAGAGGGTCAGCAATCCATCCGAGGACGACGAAGTGCCGAGTCTGCCCAGTATGTCCCATGCGAGATGTGAGGTTACGTTTGTGTCCCTTTGCATGGGCATGACAGTTGCGCTTCTCTCTCTATCTCTCTCTTCTACCGTTTCGTTTTCTCTGTTCCTTCCTGCGCCACTCGCTCTCAGGCTATTCTGTTTCCCGTTCGTTCTTTGTTCGACGCTACGGGAGCACGTTTTCCGATCGGAACCACCCGTTTTCAGATCGTTCAGCGAGGTTCGGCTTTGCTTCGACGATTAGCTTTTCGCCGTTGCGCATTCGAACGCAAAAGGGACCCGGGGACATTTTCGATATTCGTCCGCAACCTGCACGATATAATAATGGATGATCGATCTTCGCGATTGCCGAGATTATTTTATACAATTTTCGACGATCGTTTTTTTTCGAGGCGTTGTTATTCTTTAACGCGTTCGCTAACAACGTCGCAGGCGACGACCACGATTTCGTGTTTCGCTTATAGAACATCGAATTCGTTTTATTGGATGTCGCTATTTAAAATTGTAACGCGTGGTTTAAAATTGTACAGGGTGTCCCAAAAATGTCTCGCAATCCGAAAGTAGGGGATTCCTGAGGCGATTTCAAGAAACTTTTTCCTTAGCGAAAATGCGATCCGCGGCTTCGTTTACGAGTTATTAACGGAAAACAGTGACCAATCAGAGGCGAGATCATTTGGCGCGTGACGGCCGAGCCAATGAGCGGAACTGGGCTCCGTGCACTTGTTGGCTGGGCCGCCGCGCGCCAGCCGAGTTCGCCTCTTATTGGTCAGCGTTTTTCGTCAATAACTCGTAAACGAAGCCTCGGAGAAAATTTTCGCAAAGGAAAAAGTTGCTTCAAATGACCTCAGGAACCATTTCCGGATTGCGAGACATTTTCGGGACACCTTATAGAGACCGCATGTATATCATATTTTGTAAGATGATGCGATGTATTTGATACGATAGATATAATCACGTACGTTGGTGACGCTGGTAGCGAATGTATTAATGAAATGATTCGATCTCGGGACAGTTAATACAGAGATGACGTTCAATATTGCACAATAACGAAGAAATAATTTAAAGACGCGAGATGGAAATAGTAGCTTATTCGCTGAAACACCGAACGAATTTGCGACATCGATTACTAGACTGTGGATTTTCTGGATTTATGCAAAAAGTGATAACGGAGATACAAAATAGGAAGATCGTAATAAGTATAAAAAAGAAAACTATCTGTTAATTCTGTTAAGAGAACAAATACATTTTTAGTCGACTCCGATCTCTCGAAATCAACGGAGATATTTATTTTACGCGAAGATCGAGATTGCCATTTGCGTTAAAGTTCGTTCGCTTTTGAAATACGAACTCCCGAAGAAAAAGAAAAAGAGGCCAGTTACGTCGCGCATCTCCGAAGCGGTCGAATCAAAGTGGGATGAATTTTTTGCTTCGGTCGCGCAAGGGCGGGGGTCGTATACAGTTCATCGACTCCGGGGACCCTAGGGAATGGCTGTACTAACTGCAGCGATAATGCAGTTTGGAATTGCGGCAATTACAGAGATTTACAACGAGCCCAAGGATAGGTCTCGTCGGTTCAGATTGGTCCGGGGGATCTTAAGAAAACGTGCTCTCGCATTCCGAGTCCCGCATTTTCGCCGAAGACATGATTTAACTGTGCTCCGGTGCCAAAACAATTCGCCGATCGCATTGTTCTGTCTCTTAACGATCTGTCGCTTACGTTGTTACACTGTCCACTAAACAATCCGCTGTGACGAATTGTCGGAAGGCTCGTCCGTTCGTCTGTGTTTTGTTCGTTCGTGTTAACACGTGGCTGTTCTTCGTTTATTTTTTTGTTAGTGTAAAGTCGTAGTTAGATCTGTGTATCTCTCTCTCTTTGTTTATCTCTCTCTTCTCTCTCTCTCTCTCTCTCTCTCTCTCTCTCTCTCTCTTTATCTCTCTCTCGATGGTTTGCTAGCGATCGACGAAGGACAAGATTTCAACCGGCGATATGTTCTCGTTTCCGTAGATCCCGCACAGATCAGCGAGCTGCTCTCGAAGACGATAGCGGATGCCCACGCAAGAACGTGTCTGATGACGACAGAAGAGATCCAGGAGTCCTTCCGGAAGCCTCACGACCTCACCAGATTGATCTACTACAAGAACATGGCGCACGAACAACTGTGGCTCGAGTGCGCCCAAAAACTAACCGCTGTTATCCAGCAGATCATCGAGTTCGCCAAGATGGTTCCTGGATTCATGAAGCTCTCGCAAGACGACCAGATTGTTCTATTAAAGGCTGGTACGTAGACCGAGCGAAGAAGTTCACGGAACTCGGGAGGAACAACCGCGCGGCGCGCGGTTGTTTCCGCGCGCGATTAGGAAAATCGTCGAATTATTTGGTTAGCGCGCGCTGTTCCGTTGCCATTGTAAACAAGAAACTGTTCAAGTACTAATGGTGTCGCGACGAAGTCAACGCTGGAATAATATTTGACTTCGATGTGTAGAACGAAGATGAATATTTCATCGGCCTGATGTAACAGTAGACAAGCACGCGTGCTTGCCAGGCGTCCAGCGATACACGCCGCGATTCCGTTAGTGTCTAAGCTACCTTGAGGCAATCGGACAAGTAAAACACGTGACCTATTGCGAGAACGGTTCGCTTCGTGGCAGATTGACGTAACGAACCCGTGTGTTTTCAGGTTCCTTCGAGTTGGCTGTGCTACGTATGAGCAGGTACCTAGATCTCCAGCAGAACTGCGTCCTCTACGGCGACACCATGTTGCCGCAGGACGCGTTTTACACGACGGACACAGCGGAAATGAAGCTCGTTTCTTGCGTGTTCGAAATGGCCAGGAGTATCGCCGAATTGAAGCTCACGGAAACGGAGCTCGCGCTGTACAGCGCGGCGGTTCTCTACAGTCCTGGTTAGTAACATTCGTGGCAGGACGTGAAAATCGTCGACGTGGCGCTGACGTGCTACGGAAAAATATCTGAATCATGATATTCGATTTATTCTTGTCGGCCGTGTCGGTCCGAAAATCTCGGCAATAATTTCAAAAAATACTCTTCCAAAACGATCGAATTTTAGGGATTTTACGGACTTTAGGGATTTAGGGATTTGAGGATTTGGGGATTTTAAGGGCCGAGGTTACCGTAGCGCGTGGCCAAGGCTTTAATCCCCGTTCAAAGGGATTCCGTAGATAAATATGTAAATGGTCGTACGACGATTTGAGAATATTGCGATACAAAGAGGAAAGTATCCGTGCCCCGGTGTCGCAAAGACGCAAACTGCTTTGGTTAATCCGGCCGGTCGTTACGGATAGGTTTTTGCCAGTCAATGAAAAAGCAAAGTAGAGTACTTTAACGGCGGATAGAAGCGGACTAGTGTCCTATTACGACGTACAAAACGAATACCATTACGTTGGCTTCGACTTTCTCAATCCTTTTAGTTAAAAGGATTCTTCTCCTCTATAATCTTTTGTTTCCGACGATAATGGGGGTGAAGTTAATTCGACAAGCACTAAAGGAATGGAATTATAATGGCTCGATCTACTCGACATCTGAAAACTTCCGATATACCTCTACTTTTATCCGACGTAAGGATAAGCCCTGCTACGTTAATTAAGATTCTATCCTCCCCCGGATTTTTCCGAAGGTGACTCTATGCTCGAGCAAAGTACAGGAAAATTAACGCGTGGAAGCTTTTGGAAGCTCGTACTCTTTAAATTAATTGCAATTCGGTCTGTCGTCAGTTGATAATAGCATAGTATTTGTTATTTAAGCGGATAATCTTTCCGAGGAATTCCAATGATAATATTTCATAGTCTCGTATTGTACAAACAAATTAATAGTTGACAAAGTGATCACATAAACTAGCTCTAGTTTTTCATGCTGTATACTCTACGACAATTCATAGAACAATTTATTTCCGGCAGAGTGTCCGATACCAACCGGAGAAAGCTCTAAATTGAACGAAACAATGCATTGCTAAGAATACGTGCTCGGGAATTCTAACAATTTCAAAGGCTTGTACTTTACCAACACATAAGAAATCGGCAAAGCTATGACTTAAACTCTGTCTATATTTCCCTGCTCTACACCATACAACAATTTATTATTGACAGAGTGTCCGATACGAATCAGGAAAAGCTCTAAGTTGAACGAAACAATGCATTGCTAAAAATATGTGCTCAGGAATTCTAATAACTTCAAAGACTTGTACTTTACCAACACATGGGAAATCGGCAAAGCGATGACTTAAACTCTGTCTAATTCTCCATACTCCACTACAACAATTTATTATTGACAGAGTGTTCGATACAAACCAGGAAAAGCTCTAAGTTGAACGAAACATTGCATTGTTAAAAATATGTGCTCAGGAATTCTAACAATTTCAAAGGCTTGTACTTTACCAACACATGGGAAATCGGCAAAGCGATGACTTAAACTCTGTCTAATTCTCCATACTCCACTACAACAATTTATTATTGTCAGAGTGTCCGATAGCAACCGGGAAAAGCTCTACGTTGAACGAATCAATCCATTATCAAAACTAAGCGCTTGGAAACTCGACGATCTCCAAAGACCTGTATTTTCTCAACAAATCCGAAGTCAGCGAAGCGATGACTTAGATCAGCTCGATGCTCTGTTGATTCTCTCTGACCTGCGCCATGCAACCCTTAACTTTCCACGAAGCACCCGACATCGCGACCCCAGTAATCGTAGCATTAAGACATCGTACGAAATCGGTCGACGCCGACGAACCGAGTCTGACGGATTTCGCCTGAATTTCAGATCGGCCAGGACTGAAAGGCCTCGCGGAGGTGTCGAGACTGTCACAGGCGGTAATCAGGGCGCTGAGGTCGGAGCTGGACCGTAACCACCTGTCGCCGATCAAGGGCGACGTGACGGTGTGCGACGCGATCCTGGCGAAGATCCCCCAGCTCCGGGAGATCTCTCTGCTGCACATGGACGCGCTCGCGAAGCTGAAACGGTCGCAGCCCCACCTCGACTTCCCAGCCCTCCACAAAGAGCTTTTCAGCGTTGACAGCTGAACGATCGACGCGGCGCAGGGCGTCCCGACGCTGACGAACAAAGCGGTACGCGAGTAGCGCCGGGCCTTGCTCTGTCAAGGTGAGTTCCACCGTCCGGAAAGGAAACGACGGAGAAGGCGACGCGTGTCAACAGAAAGAGAAAAGAAAAGGGTGACGTCGCGACGACGCTACCTAGGAAGACAGAGCGAGAGAGCGAAAGAGCGAGAGAGAGAGAGAGAGCGAGAGCGAGAGAGAGAGAGAGCGAAAGAGAAAGAAAGTGAGAGAGAGAGAGAGAGAGAGAGAATGGATCGCGTAGGCGTGTGTTTAGGGCCGATCGACGAACGACGGTCGAAGGGTGCGGAGAGAACGTGATTGTGACGCAACGAGCTTGCTAAGATTTTTGCCGAAGTTCTGATTTGTCGAGGTCGTACGCCACAGGCACGCTTACCACCACACTACCTTTTTCTTTTTTTTCTTTTTTTTTTAATTATTTCTTTGATCGTACTATCGTAAACCCTACGTACTTCTTCGCTAGCTTCAAACGTATCGCGCGCACGAGAACGCATCGAAACCGAAGGGACAAGTTAATGAGTTCTATTATATAGTTCTATGTATATGTATACATATAAATATATATATATATATATATATATATATATATATATATATATACAATATGTATATTTATATATATATATGTATATATATATATATATATATATATATATATATACAATATGTATATTTACGTATATGTATGTATACATATACGCGAGTAATTTAGGCAGCACACGTTGCGTTGTTATTGTATATTTAATTCCGAGGATTAGTAATTGAATTTTATATATTGACATGTTATATAGAATTTTTAAGTACAAAGAGATAAGTTTTATCGGGAGAGCAGTAGGAGAGCGGTGCGATGACCGAGAATCGTCTCTGTGTCCTTGGATCGTTCGAGCAGTCCTGTTGTTTGTCCGCTTGTCGCGATGCCACGATCTTTCCTTCGAGCCCTTCGACTCCGCAGGAATTAAGATCCTCGACGCAAACGATATCCAACAAAACGAAACGAAAAACAAAGAATGCTATATACGGAAACGAACAGCAAGAAACAATCGTAGCCGACGACTGCGAGCAATCGAGAGAACGCATCGACGCGGACGACGGTTGTTAGGTCACGCGGTTTATTGTACATATTCGTTTTTTTTTTCGTCGTGTCTCATCGTCGTCTATATATTTACGAAAAGGAAAATGTATGACGATTGAGCGGAGCTTTTCGTCACACCGGGATAACGAAATCTTAATCTTATCTGCGCAACCCGATTTCACGATTGTCCGGAGAGAAAGAGAGAGAGAGAGAGCGCGTGCGAGAGAGAGAGAGAGAGAGAATGAGAGAGTGTGAGAGAGAAAGAAAGGTAGAGAGAGAGTGAGAGAGAGAGAGAGAGAGAGAGAGAGAGAGAGAGGAAACAGGACTTTTCACGCCGGTGCACGATGTTCTGGATCTTAAATTTAACATGCAAGCGAGCCGGCTTTGAGAGAAGCGCCGCCCGAAATCGAGCGTGAAACAAGTAACTATTTCAATCACATTTTTTTGTTCAAATCAGCTGCGATCGTTGTTAAGTCTCCTCGTCCATTTTTCTTTTTTTTCTTTTTTTTTATTCTATTATTATCGGTTCGTTACATTTTGGAAAGCCACGTAACTTGTACTTTATTTCTTTTTTTTTCGGTCAGAAACTGCGTTACTAGTACTATTACGATAATCATTAATATTATTGATTAATTAATTAATATTATTATAATAATTATTATTATCCTTATTATCATTACGATTATTATTATCTATTTTATTTCTCCCTCCTTCCTCCCGCATTTTTTCTCCGGTTTCTCTTCTTTTATTTTTGTTTGGTCACGTTTCATTTTTGTTTCTCTTTCGGAAAGCTTTCGTTTCGTTTCGTTTCACGTTTTCCTCTCTTTCACGTGTACAAAATGCGATAGGATAATAATTCGTGTTAAGTTTCATCGAGAACGCCCCGCCCCGTCCCCCCTCCCCCGGTCCCCACCTCATGGTCCTGCGATTGTTCTGTTAATTACACGCGTTAAGCGAAAGTTACCTTGGAAGTTTCTGAGCGAAAAACGTCGGGAACGACGCCGCGTGGAACAGTCTGCCGGGTTTTCGCGCGTTCGGTTTTGCGTATTCGCTCTAACTTATTTCCGATCAACGATAACAGCGTCGCGAGAAAACGTCGTTAGCTTTAGTTCGAAACCGATGCGGATATTCCGAGAGGAGAGGGATTAAAAGCTGAAGAAAAATCGGGTTTACAGTGCATAACACTTCGAAAAATGAACCGACCACCGTCTGGACGATCAATCCTCCGACGAACAACGAAAGCATCGAGCGACTCAATCGCACCATAACTGCACGATCCGCCCCGCAAACCAACGGCGGTTCGTTGATCGTCGAACGAATCGATCGCTCTCTCGATCGAGCTCATTCCATTGATTTATAATTCTAAACGCGGTGCGACGCGGTTTCGTTGGCGAACATTCTCGAATCCCCTCCCGACCCGTCGCCGTTCGAGAATCGCCGTTCCGAGACGCGCGAATGCTTGTACATATTGTATAAAGTCACGGTGTAAATTGATCGGGGCGAGTCCTCGATCGGCTCGCTCGTTTCTGGATCACTTTAGCCGAGGGTGTTCCGGCGGGTGGCTCGTCGAAAACCCGGCAGGCGGTCCTCGATCGGCTCGCGATCGCGTCGGTCCCGAGGACGCGTCGAGTTACAGGTTTTCCGATTACGTCGATTTCACGGTTCCCTATCGATGGTTATGGTATCCCCCATTTCGAACGTTATAGTCCCCGTATTTTCGAAAGTTATGCTCACGAAATTTCGAATGTTACTTGTTTCTGGTCGACGGCGATCCTTCCTAGGCAGCGTCGAGGTGCGAACGTGTACGCGAAAAATGGAACACTGCAGGATCGTAGATTTTTAATTGCGGCGGAAACAAGCGTAGAGACACGAGATCGTGTCGAGGCAATCGGAACGGAAATGGATGATCACGAAACCGGGAACCTCTTGTAAACGAAAACGTGAGGAAACTACGTTCGCATTCGGTGACACACACGAGCCGTATTCCTCGGATTTATACTTTTATATTGATTAGCGATTCAAGGGCGAATCGTTTGTCCGTTTTTCTGTAAAGATTTGTTCATGTTCATCTTGGCCGGGGGAACAAGATTTCACAGCGCTCGGTCTGCCCGGGGGCACCCATTCTCGTTGTTCATTTCGATTTCAGCGTGGTAGACGTTGAAACGACCGAGCTCCCCCGTTCGAATCATTTTCGCGTAGTCGTGCGTTAGAAAATTCTTTCCAACCCCCGTACGCTGCTCGAGCGAAAACGTATCCGTGCTTCGTTTCATGCGGAAATCTTATGCGAGCGTTGCAATTGGAAGCGTTAAAAAACGCTTAAAATGAAACGAAAAACTTATATTAATTATTGTGTTAATAATTCTAATATATATATATATATTAATTAATATGTTAATAATTGTAATATATATTAATTAATATATTAATAATTATAATATGTATTAATTTTAATATATTAATAATTATAATATGTAATAATTAATATATTAATAATTATAATATGTATTAATTAATATGTTAATAATTATAATATATATATTAATTAATATATCAATAATTATAATATATATTAACTAATATATCGAATAAAACTTGAAAACTCGAAATATCGGACATAGATGAAACGAATTCGGTTGTTAAGACCGATGTTACGAGAGCTAATTAATCGCGCAAAGTGGTCCAAGCACCAATCACAGAATCTCTCATCAACTAAAACATTGATATTCCGAAATCGTTTAACGTGCCCGCGGTCATTCTTTTTTCTCGCAAATGCACAAAATTCGTTCGATCTATAGACAAGAATTTCCATCGCGAGCGTTTTTTTTCAGCGTACGAGGGTTATATTTACACGTCGTCATTTGGAACAGCGGCGAAACGATGAAATTTTAATCGATACAGAGATGCTCGATATTGTTAATTATCGCGCACGGGTGAGAACGATAGAACACCCGGCGCGAACCCGTTCGATTAATTGTACTAGTTGATAATCGGTTCGGCCATTTTGTCGGTCATCTAGTTGCGTTGCCTTCGCCTCGACGGAAGTGGCCAGCGGTCGCGTTCCGTTTGCGACGACTCTAGTGGAGGGAAAAAAAAAATAATTACGAGAGAAAAAGAAAAATAAACGACAAGAAACCACGACTCGTCATTGACTGAATAGATTCTATACTCGCGGTGCTTACGACAGGGAGCAAAAGAGGTACAAGCGTTTAACCGTATATTCGTCTCCTTTCTGTTGCAGATTATTTCCTTCGTAATGAACGTATTGGGCCTTAAATAAACATAACATTGTTTTATATATATATATAAAAACAAGAGTTATATATATATATAAAGTATACATAAAAAGCAACATAAAGTATATATGAAAGATATGTAGAAGTGTGCGTGTATATGTATATCTATATACTATATATTACATATTATATATATATGTTTATATATATACATACGTGCATATACATATATACATATACGTATACGTATATATATACACACACACGAATATAAAATATATTATATATATATATATACATATATATATATATAGAGCGAGAGAGAGATTGTGTGAGCGTGATAATTAAATCGAACATGTGCGCGCGAGAGTAAACTGAGTGTATCTGTGCGAGTGCGATAAAACGATGAAAAATGGCTGAGGAGGATAATAGACAAAAACGAGCGGAGAAAAGCGATAGAACCACGGTCGGCGAGAGAGAGAGAGAGAGAGAGAGAGAGAGAGAAAGAGAGCGAGAGAGAGAGAGGGAGAGAGAGTGATAGGGAGAGAAAGGAAGCGCGTGTGAGAGTGTGCGAGCACGAAAGAACTGAGAATATCGGTTGTTACGATGCATACATACAAAAAAGTATATATTGTACTAATTAAAGTAAAGCAAAAAAAATGTGGTTAAATGGGCCCCGCCGGAACGGTCCACAGACGACTTATATATCTATATACGTACACATACATGCGCAAGCGGCACGTACGACGTACAACCGCGTAAGAGGCTGGCTGGGCGTGTGCCGGATTGAATTTTGCTCGGACCGTCCGTTCACGACATAGAGAAAAAAAGAAAAGAAAACGAAACGAAACCGGGAATACATTTAAACGCAAACGGTGCAAAAGACCGACCCGATGAAATAGCGTCGCCGGAGTTGTCGGGGTCGGGGCGCGTCGCCGTCTCCGCGTGCCCCGCGTTGCGTAGAACGCGGCGGAACGGGTGCCGATGGACGCGGGAACGTCGACGGGACTTCCGGTCGGCCGTATACTTCGCGGTAGTGGTTCGCATAGTTCCCTCTGAGCTACCTTAGACAGTAAATGTATAAACACACACTCGCGCATATACATATTATATATATATATATA